GCTACGAAACCCGGCTGAAAAAATGGGTTGAAGGCACTCTGAAGGATAAAAAAGTGTATGTATTATACATAAATTTTGCAACATTTTTGCAAACATTTATATTATTTAGTTACATACATTCATATTCTAATTTCTGTTAAATACTTTTATTCATGTGCTTCATGTGTTTATTTATGTATATTATGTGCTCCATATTATGTATATTTACATCAAAGTATCTATGTAAAAAGTTAATATTATTTTGTATATTGTATATATTTTTATAATAAATGTATATGTCATATAACTTATTTATAAAGCATGAAATATAAAGGTATTTTTAGTTTCTTGTATGTATCACTTGTAAAAAAATTTTGATAAAAAAAACATTAATTTTGTGACTTGCAATAATCTGTTTCAATATATACTTCTTTTAAATACTTACAATTAGCCTTATTTTATGCGTTTACCTTGGTATCTAAAATACACATCAAAATATAAAATTAATTTCTAGTTCAATAGAAAAAAAAACATTGTAGTCTTACACCAGAGAGGAATGGTAAAATATTATGTATATGTAATGTTACGTCCTGTACGGACCTTTCCTTTGCACAAGTTTCTCACGACCAGTCGGGAAAAATTCAAAGAAACGTTCCGAGAATATTATTTTAATGATTTAAGATCCCGAATGTACCATAATAATCTTTTAGGCCTTCAATCGAAAATTTATCGAGATAAGACACGATAGTAGACTTTGAATTTTCGCCGACAGAAAAGCCGACGGAACGATATACATGTCATTCGAGCAATCCATCTATTAATCTTCAAACAACCTTTTTTATCTTATTTTTATTAACAACCCCTCGGAAGGAATGTCTCCCTTCCAAAACCCAAAATTTCGAGTATAAAAGGGAAGACACCCACCCGTGAAGGCAGCAGTTAAGCAGTTAATATAGTTCTCTCAACATCTCTGAATCCAGCTCAATCGAATCTTAGTTCATACCTTAAAATATTAGAAAAAACCGATTGTATCTCAAAGTGCTTGTATATCAATAATTATAGTAAACGTGTTTGTTAAACAATATTTCGACTAAAACCATTTCTCACACATTCAACCTACCCCCGCCTTATTCCTAATTGTTTCTTCAGATCAGCACTCAGTATCGATATTTTCGGTGCGGCCCACCGCACGCTTTACGCCTGGAATTTCTGGACTAACACAAAATTCCTTTCTTATCCCGAAATCCAAAACTTGTCGCGGAGGAGTGAAGTACCGCGCGCGGCAATTGCTTCTCCAACATATTAAACCAACCTCCGAGCAATATTCATTATACATCGACGTGAATACGGACCACTGAACGACCCAAGAAGATCCAGATATATTTCCAGGACAAGTAGTAAGTCAAAACCTTCATAATTAAATTAGTTGTAAGACCTCTCACCTTCCTCTTCTACCCCCCCCCTCTCCTTTTGAAAATTTGCACGAGGTTCCGCCCTTGGTAAAAGGAGTTAATTCTCTTGACCAGAAAAGGAAACCACGAACGATTGGTTGAGGCCTCTAACAGCAATATCGATCATTACGATCGTTGACCTGTTCTCAGCCAAGGGAAATCGTTCGGCTCGCGCGGTCGCCTCCTCTCATACCGACCAGCGAGCAAACACCACAAATTTATACTTTTATTGTTGCGTCCGTCCGTATACCTAACCCGCCCCTTTCCTTCCAGGTTAGGACGTAACAGTAATAACAAATAAATCACTTTTCCACTGACATTATACACAACTTTGCAGAAATAATTTTATTCTGTGAATTTTGAATGTGTGGTGCAGTTTAAAACACACAGTTGAAATATGTTTATATTTTTTAAATAATAGTTCTGATTCTTCATGAATCACAGTGGTTTTATAAAATGTTCAATTTTAACAGTTTTTATTAGACTGTACTTTAGACAATATTATATTTTGCCATTTCTCTCTGTTGTAAGACAAGAATGTTTCGTTTCTACTGTAATACAAATACATTTTTGATTTTGATACGTATTTTAAATACCAAGTTAATCACATAAAATAAGGCTAATTGTAAGTATTTAAAAGAAGCATATAATGAAACAGATTATTGCAAGTCGCAAAATTAATGTTGTTTCTTTTATCAAGATTATTTTACAAATAATAGACACAAAAAAATAAAAATATCTTTATATTTCATGCTTTAGAAATAAAAAATATGGCATATATCATACATTTATTGTAAAAAAAGTATATAAAATAATGTCAAATTTCTTAGAAAAGATATTTTGATATGAATATAGATAATATGGAGCATATAATATACATTATATATATACATAGAGCATATGACGTAATAAAAGTATACTTACAATAAAGAATAAGACAAGCCAGAGCGGTTTCTCGTGGACT